CCGCAATAACGTGGTCGCATCAGTGCAAGCTCGGGACGCGGAGGTAGTGAGCGTTTAATGCCGTAATATAAAATGATGTACTTTGCGCACACGTGATGGTTCAAATCACGGAAACCCTAACCCGAATTTGAACCTTGTTCAAACGTGACAGAGCGCCCGACGCGAATTCCTGAGAAACCACCAAGGGACTTTGCTTCAGGACACGACGGGAGACCGCAGCGACAATTCCAACAGAATCGACGCCTTTTCTTGCTCTTCTGCTTCTTTGTACGCCTTCTGCACGTTTTATTTCTTTGTTTGCCAACAGTTTGGCAGGGCGCTTGTTGGTCCTTGTGGGTCCAACAATTTAATTGTACGAATTCTTTGTGAGAACACCCGTTGGTCCTTCGCTTCATTGAACAACTTTCTTACAAGTTTTTGTTCAGGCGCGGCCTCCTCCGTCAACACATTCGTTATTCTTCGTGAGTTGCCCTTTCTTTCCTTTGTTTTGCCCATTTTGGGCGAACAATGCGGCGGAACGGTACCGTGACTGACCCTTCATCCATTGTTCGCCAGTTCCAACCAGCCATAGGTTTTTCCAATTGCAAACCGTGCGTTGCCTTCTTAAAACCGTCTGTCACGAATTGCTCGCTGACCAGCTTTTTCTTCTACCATCACCTACCCACCGAAACTCAACATGAACCGTTTCTTCAACCCCTACAGATATAAAAATCAGAAACAGAAAAGAAATCCTTCATCGGACGACATGCCTCTTTTTAGTCAGAATTCAGACAGGTTCTTGATTGCACCTGCCGCACTTGCACGACGACGGGCTGATACTGCTTCACGACTCCGGAATGACGTCGACGACTCGGACCTCGAAATCTCTTTCGCTTCCACTGTATCTTTGAACTCGCCTCCAAAGGAACCTATTACGCTCGCTTCGGAAAATGGATATGCGGAGCCCATGGATATCTCACCTGCGCCTCCGCTAAAATCAACAACAACCACGAAAGGCCGCCCACGAGCTTTCACTAGCGGACCTCGTCTTTTTGGAAACGATATGAGCAATCGCTTGATTTCTACCCCTGAACTACAACCATCACCGTCTATCAGTGGGGGCTCGACCAGTGCTAAACGCATTCAGAGGGCTGCACTTCCAACAGAATGGCTTATGACAACTACAAGCCCAGAGGTACGATCGTCGTACCGCTTATCTCCTTTTTCTTTTTTTACAAATAATCTCGATTCAGATCGCGGAACCAAATACCCTGGACGATGATGCCATGGATGTAGATACATCGTTTCACATCGAACCACCACCTCCCGCCTATTCTTTCCCCCAAGGTGTCTCATCCGCTGCACCCACGATCACCAGCTTCTCTCAAGCCATTGACAATCTCTTCTATGAATCGATGTCCCCACGTCGTGGTCTTGATTCTCCTCCCGCCCATCCTCTCAAGAAGAGGCGGTCTCTTTCCCCAGAGGCGTCTCGCCATGTGGATGACGACGACTCATCTTCATCGCCGGCTCTCCCTTCATCACCCGCCCAACGTCAATTGGAGCGTAAGGCTAGCAGTTCGCTGTTATCTGGATTTAACAAGCCTACTCTTCAAGGTCTTGGGAATCCCTCGGTCAATGGTATCAAACGACCTCGCCGACCCGCCCTTTCAGCCATGGTTCATCCGTCGGAAAACGGTCTGCAGTCTGCTTATCCTATTCTCTCTGCCGGCTCCAGCGACGACAAATCAAATGACTCCAGATTTCCCCCTGCACGCCGAGCGTTTTCCGCCATGATTGCACCTGCGCCTTCCTCCCCGTTCGGCGAGTCTTCGGGAGACTCCTCTTTTGATATGAGCGGAGAAATGTCTTCTCCTGCTCAAGCGTATGCCAAACGTCAGCAGATGAGGACTATACGGAGATGCGATGGGACTGACGATTTTAGGCCCCTGACTGGTGCTACGGCGATGATAATGCAGGAGAGCCCTTCGTCAAAATTTATGGTCGCTGGGGGAATGCCTGGGTTTGGTGACAATGAGTCGAATGGGAAGGTTTTACCGTGCCATCGGGTCACTGACGATGGGCTGATGAGAATTACGGCTGAGACGGTAGGCTTTGTTGCAGTGGTCGCGAGACTCTTGTTGAATCCTTTTAGATGGACCAACTCCTCGACGGCGCATTCGAGGATCAGATTCGTGACTATTTTGTAATCGACTGTCGGTTCGACTACGAGTTTGCTGGTGGTCATATCCCAGGAGCGGTGAACATCAACACCCCGAGCTCAGTGGAGGAAATGCTTCTGGGCCCAAGCTTAATGAAGCCCAAGCCCTCCGTCAGTGGTGACAACCAGAAGAAGACTGTGCTGATATTCCATTGCGAATTTAGTGCAAAGCGTGCTCCTACTTTGTATGTTCACGTTTTCTTCACTGCTGAGTCGTTCGTTAAACCTCCCTCAGTGCCAAGCATCTTCGTTCCAAGGACCGGGCCATGAATAATCACGTTTATCCAAAGGTCCACTACCCTGAGCTCTACATTCTTGAAGGCGGGTATTGTTCATATTACAAACGTTCCGCCGATCGTTGTGAGCCGCAGGGCTATGTCTGTATGGATGACCCTCAACACGCTGCTTCTCGACGAGGCGACCTCGACCAGTTCCGGAAGAACAAGTTTGGGCGACACAAGTCTTACGCGTACGGTGACGGTGCTGGGAAGCTTTCTCTTGCTTCTCAACAAATCAAGCGGAACAGTGCGCCTACTGTTGGTCCACCCGCCCTTTTTGCCGCGGGTAACGCTGCTCGTCACCGTCGAGGAACCGCTGTCAATGGTAGTCTATCCACGTTATCTGAGGATAGCCATAATACTACTGAGGCTGAAGAGACTGATATCGATGTCAGTCCCTGCCCTGCACCCAGCAAATCTATCGCTCTCAAGGGGAAGAAAGGCACCCGAGCCCCTATGTCGCGTGCCGAGACTTATGGACCCTCTCGTATGCCCTTCCTCGGGCATTAATGTCGTCCCCGACGTAGGTTGAACGATACGACATTCGTCACGTTTTACGTTTTCACTCGTCCCATAACCATTCACCTGGCCATTTTCACATGCCGTACTTGGCTCACGAATCTCCTGACTCCGCACGTTTATGTCTTTCAGGTTCTCTATGCAGTTTCTCACTATGGCATGTCACTCTCTTCGACACACACTCGTTACGCTCTGTTTTGAGCTTCAGCTTTCGTTCATTCGTTCGTTCATTCGTTCGTTCGTTGTCCTAGCTCACCGTCTTCGTATCATGATGCGATGCGCCTCGCTGCCCCTTCGCTTGTGCGTTGGAGCATCTATGGCATCGTCATCGTGGCCGACGTTGACTCCTATTCTGCTCTTCGCAAGCTCTCATCGCAATGTTTTCTGTGTTCTGCACTATGCTGTGGAACATATTTTGATATAATGCGACCATCGGTGACTCGCCTCTCCGTTTTTTTATTCTTCATTTCTTTTTAATCTCATCTTTCATCTCTCTCATCCATCATCCATCTGTGATTATATACATACATCCCACCGCTTCGCCGGACGTGGATCATCTCACACATCTATTTGTTTCAGTATTTAACACAAAGAACTTGCCATCCCATGCTACTCATCGATAGTCTGATATCTATTTTCTATATTTCTATCACATCTATCACTGTCTTCATCTACCTTCTTCACATCATTCTGCGCTTGCCACAGAACAGAACAAACATCTCCCTAGTGGACCTTTTTTTTCCTGTACCTAAAGTACTTGATTACCAGATCTCTCATCTTGTCTCCGTTCCATCCATCTCCAATATATTTACAAAGCAACATGTATTTATTATCTCTCCATCTTTTTTTCCCGTATTTTCTGTCTCTTCTCCTTTTGACATTTCGATTCGTTTCATAACTGTTCTAAGTGCTGAGCTAGACGTTGTCCGCCTTTGCTGAAGCTTTTGGTATGGTTTCTTCCTGTTCTTATGCTTCTCGAGTTTCAACCGTAGATCTGGCTGAAAGAAAGATATATTTTCACTTCGACGAGTGAGCCTACGCTTGCCTACGCTTGCCTACGCTCTCACTGCGTACATATGTACTCTGCAACTCTCACGTTCACGTACGCCCGAAATATCTTCGGAGTAGATTCCACATGCCGTCTGATGCCGGTGCGCGTCACCATAAAGTGTGGCGCCTCACTCCATCCAAATGAGCTCATTGGAAAGTTCGAGCTCCGTCATCGGAAACTGGAATAAAAGAATATGGGTTGGTGCAGTTGCACCCTTTATTAAACAGTCATGGCAAGCATCTCTCGGTCTCCATCCACAGGACCTGCGCCCACTTCTCAAAGACAGAGATCTCGCCGTCCGCCTTCGCGAAGTTCATCCGTCGCAAGTGACTCTGGCTCTCGAAGTCGAAGTAGGGCGCCTGCCGGTCGCAGTCGCCGTCGAGGAGGAGAAAATGCTGGTGGTGTCGGAAAGCTGCCAGGTGTGAACGAAGTTGCCGATACTGCAACCAATGCTCTTGGGGGCGTTGCTGGAGGCGGTGACAGTGGCGGAGGAGATGAAGGGAAAGGCGATAAACCATTGCAACTGAGGTTGGATCTCAACCTTGATGTTGCTGTTGAAATCAAAGCCCGGGTTCATGGTGACTTGACGCTCTCTCTTTTGTAAGTTCATTGGAGACCAATGATACTGGAGCTTGACCTTTTTTTTTTTTTCACAGACGATGATATCAAAGCATACTACGGAGGAAGAAAGTTGTTTTGGGCTAATGTAAATGGACATCTTACTGTACAATAATAATGCGGACGGAGTTCACGATCATCACCCACCAGCTAAATGTTTCTTCAGAAAGTTATACCCCAGTCTCTATCGTTATCCTCTATCTAAACTTAGCTTCATCGACCTGGATCCTATCACTACTTCCAGAGTGAATAACAGGAGTAAAGAGCCTAGAAGATAGATATATAGAACGTGAAAATCAGCAAAAAAAAAAAATTTGTCCGCTTTGGAAATATATACACCGTTCGGGAATCGAACCCGAGCCGCTTGCTCACACAATGGAAGGCAAGCATGATAACCACTTCACCAACGGTGTCCTGCTAATAGTGCGCAGAACTTTAATTATATGGTGATCTTTTCTCTCACTGTGACGTCGAATCTTCGGTGAATTTATGTTTGTGCTTCCGCGCTCTCAACTCTGATATGCCTATCTGGATTTTTGCTGTACTTTTCTGCTCAACATAACATGCCATTGTTGCAAATCATCCAAAAGTCACCATTGCGGCTCTTGGCCAGGGCACTGGCTTACCCAAAGACTACGAATTCATCTTATAGACTTTACAGTCGATGTTATAATGGCTATAGTACAATCACACCGGTAAGCTACATGGCTATCGGGACTTTTGGCCATTAATTACGACGTAAATTCTGACAGTCTCGTATACCTGGAGCGTTCAAGCCCACCGCCGGACCACGATACTTATATGTTCGCTCAACTTCCTCTGCAGCAGCCAGAGTCTCGTCCTCTCCAAAACAAGACCGTAACGAAGAACATTGGGATGATCTCCCGATAACCAGCATGGATGAGAAGCGCGTTGCTGTTGGATGGGATACCAGAACCTGGTCAAGATTGTGGGTAATTTCCCAGTCTTTTCTTTGAATTACTTTCTCCCAACGCTGGTTATCTATTCGTTCAGTCACCACATCTGGCTCCGAGACCACTGTCGCTGCCCATCCTGTTTTCACCCGAAAACTAACCAACGGCTTCTGAATACCTTTGAAATACCATCTCATATCCAACCTCTTTCCGTCCAGTCTACGCCCGAGGGACTAAAGGTTCTCTGGCCGGTACATGTTGGATCCTCTCACGAACAAGATGAATCATCTCATTCATCTCCGAGTTCGCCTGCAGCCATGGCAGAACACGAATCACTTTATCCTTGGAATTGGCTCAAGAGAAACTCATATGATCCGAAGATGGAAAGAAATGACGCTGACTTTCCCGAGGAGTAAGTCGTTGTTCATCTGTATCATCGACCATACTCACTTCCGTCATCCGCGTTAGAAAGAAAATCCTCTGGAACTCACGCATAGCACAGTCTCCGCCCTCTGTTGCTTATACTGACGTCATCAACTCGGGTGAGAATGAGAAAGGTTTGTACAAATGGCTAGAAAACATCGTGAGTATCCTACCGCTTTGGATCCTCTTACTTTCATGAAATAACTTTCGTTACAGGACCAATTCGGCTTCTCCTTCGTCACCGATGTACCTCCAAACGCCTCTGCTACCGAGAAGCTCGTTCGAAGGATATCTTTCATCCGAGAGACGCATTATGGTGCGTTCTGGGAGTTTACCTCGGACTTGGCAAAAGGAGATACGGCATATACGAATATCCCGTTGGGTGCGCATACGGACAATACTTATTTTGTGAGTACGAGTTTCCTTCATTATCTTCAGATGCCATAAATCGTGGTTTTTTTCACTTTGTCCTTTTGAAAACGGCGGTCACTGACTTTTCGATTCGACAGACCGACCCATGTGGTCTTCAACTATTTCATCTACTAGAACATACCTCGTCTAGTGATCCCCACGCGTCTGATTCTGAATCGAGCCCGATCGAGTTGAGCAACACGGTATCCACACCTGATGAAACGAGTCCCCGTCCTGAAGCTGAGTTCTTCACTGCATCAACGACGCCTAATCCAAATTCAAATCCATCGCCCGCTACAACGCCCCCCTCGCCAAAGGCCATCTCATCATCCCATTCCCTTGGGGGCACCACTCTCCTCGTTGACGGCTTCTACGTCGCCTCCATCCTCCGCCAACTCCACCCCGATGCCTACGACCTGCTCTCATCTGTCAAAGTCCCCGCACACGCTGCCGGAGAACGCGACACAGCCGGTATATTTTCCACCGACGAGGGCCATCCGATCCTCACCCACGACACATCCGGGAACCTCATCCAAGTGCGGTGGAACAACGATGACCGGTCCGCCGTCACTTCCCTCCCGAGTTTGCCGGGATCGGGGATGACGGCGACGATGGAAGAGTGGTACAACGCTCTGAGGACGTTTCATACCCTTCTTTCGTCGCCTGATTCTGAATTCTGGGTGCAGTTGGAACCGGGGACAGCGGTGATTGTGGATAATCATAGGGTGTTGCATGGACGGAGTGGGTTTATGGGGAGGAGGAGGATGTGTGGAGCCTATGTGGGCAAGGATGAGTGGAAAGCAAAGCTGAGAGGGCTTAGGGAGAAGCATAGGGTTGAGGGAGGGGGACAAGGAGATGAAAGTGAGGTATGGAGTAGATATTATTGAGATTTATGAGGTATTTCTCCTGGGATTGAGGATCATTTTTTGCATGTCATTGATAAAAACTGAGCCAAGGGTTCTGCCGCGTTGATATTTCATTGCTTAAACGGAACAAATTCGAAGGATCTAGGTGGCGTTCAAGTACAACAGAATTCCCGTATTGAAAGATTGACGCGAACAATTGGGATGGTATGCTCTTGATTCTTGAACTTGCAAGTCACCACTACGCATCGCACTACAATGTAGAGGTGCAGATGTCATTTTATACATACGATTTTCAAAGAGAGAAAAAATATCAATACAACTCGCAGTCAACGATCCTCCACGGCCGAGCACATTCTGTGGATTGGTTACGTCTATAGGCCCGGTCCAGATCCACGATTCCAAAATCCCCAAACGTGAAAGTCTCCTCCTTTAGGTCTTCTCCTTCAGCATCGTCAAAAGATCCTTGATGAGCTCGTTCAAAGCGAATAAACTGGAGACAGTCATACATTTCTAGAGCATCTTGCGCAGTGTCTCACGCAGATCCTCCAAATCCTTGAGCACTTTCTGCGTGTCCTCTCGGATTTCTTGTACTTCTTTGAGCTTTTCCGACAAGTCCTTCATAAATTCCTCCTTCACCTTCTCCATGCGGCCCGCGTGATCTTGGCGTAATCTCGCCTCCTCCTTTTCAATGCGATCATTGTATTCCTCGTCCGATCCCTTTTCCACTTTCGCGATAAAGTTCTCTTTCTCTGTCTGCTCGATGCGATTGCTAAGTTCCTCGAGCAGATCCTTCTTTGTTTGATCAACACGACGATCGAGTTCTTCGAGTAGAGCCTTCTCGATTAGATCAATGTTACGCGTATAGTTTTCGACAATGTTCTTCTCGATCTGGTCATTGCGACGAATGAGCTCTAGCAGCGTCTTCTTTTTCATGTCAATAAAAGTCTCGAGGCTCGACACCGTTTGCTTTGTCGACCAAAACCTGAAGAGAAAGGTAATCGTTCTGTAGATAAGGCTATTGACATTGACCTCAGTACTTGGATTTGCAGGAGGAAAAGTACTCACAAAGCAGAGATTCCGAGCAGCGAATAATACACTACAGAAGTCGCCACTCCCATGTCCATGCCTCGCTCCTCGAATTCTTGGAACAGTTTCTGCCAGCCTACATCAGGAAACAGTGAAATGATACGGACTGATACACACAGTGAGGCTTTTTCCATGTATAGTGTATAGAATCTGTATTGATTTGTATACTTTGCAGGCCAGTATGTACCATGAGTATACTCTGTATCGATTTGTATTTGATGGGGGCGGCCTACGTATACAATGGTACTGCTTCACATCATTAGGCCATTGATCTGTGTAATATGATCTCATAGAATTTCAGGTGCGCGCGCGTCAGGAATGGCAGCCTTAGCTTAGCTTGGCTGCTTATTGGCAAAGTTTCAAGTTGGAAGTCGATGCCTGCCCTACACTCACATGATCATGTCACGTTGATGTTGGTTAAAATTTTCTCGCTTCTTCCTTTGCTTTCATCCGTCACCTCGAGGCTTTCTTCCCGCTAACGCTATCGTGCCTCAACGTCTTAACGTTTCAAATTTCATTGTCTAGGGAATCTAATGCTCTCACTGCGCTTCTGTCTTGTCTCTCCTTCAAAATTACTTTGGCTGCTTTCGGTCTTCAAGGCGCCTTTCTGCAGATATCAAGAACTGGCAAGAGATGGGTGTATTGGTATGTCATTCTTTACACATTTGGTAATTGTTCTGTCTGACAATGTTCCTCTTTCATTCTTGCTTCCGCTTCGGCGCTATATGGTACGTCCCATGTTTCAGCCGTGTTTCTCTCTGACGACGTCGGTATAGTTCTTTGCCTCCCATTGGAGTCCCAGTCTGCCTCAACTCCTACCACCTCTTAACTCAGTTAAGTTCTCATTACTTGTCGATTATGGTCTCTCATTGGTCATATTTTCGTTACTCGTTGGTCATATTCTCGTTACTCGTCGGTTGTATTTTCTCGTCGATTATATTTTCGTTATTTGTCGGTCCCGTTTTCGTTGCTCATCTCGGTTACATTTCCGTTAGCTATGTCTGTTATATTCGTCTGTCTCAGCTACGTATAGTTATGTTTATTAGTTACGTTTTTGCTACTCGTATTAGCTACATTAATGAATGGCTTATACCCCTCTTCGTTGAACCTCGTTGAACCTGAGTATTCCCTACTAAGTAATTTGCATGACAATCTGCAGTCAATAGCATGGATTGTTACAATCTTAACCTGTCCTGACTGAGATGTAGTGCTATGAGCAGATACTGTATATGTACAGTATTTGAAGTGAGAGTATATGCAGTGTACAAGGTATGCATAATGATACTGTGCACTTAGTGAGGGTATACATACTATACAGAGCGATACAGTATCATACGTACAGGGGACCTTTAAACAGCTATACAATAGATACATATGATACATACAGGGTCATATAAGGGTTGTTTTTTCCTGATGTAGTGTTATCAAATTAGATTAAATCCATCGCCCGATGTAAATTGGGTCGAAATGGGCAGCGATCGAATAGTACTTACTAGCAGCATCTCTGAGTCGTTTGAAGAGAATCATACGAGATGGATATTCCGACTTGAACGTATTCAGAAGGCTGAAGACAAAGCAGCGGCCCGATAATCGGAAGTCTAGTATCCAGTCACGTGTGGGCGTAAGTACTTCACTGCAGTGGAACCACGGTAACGCTCTCACGCTTATGGCACTCTTCCAGCAACTATTATCTCTCACAAGTAAGTAACTTGA